GAGAGAGAGAGAGAGAGAGAGAGAGAGAGAGAGAGAGAGAGAGAGAGAGAGAGAGAGAGAGAGAGGGGGAGAAATATAAAGGCAATAAAAATTAACTTATTTTTAATAAAAGGATTGTGCAGGTTATTAAAGTTCTGTAGATGAAGTACAGATTTGGGTAAGATGGAAACCACTGGAAAAGAACATGACTTCGTTTATATTTTTGAAGGAATGCAGGGTTTGAAGGAGTTTTACTTATACTTTGGCCTTACATAACACACAAGAACTTAATATTCCCATATATTTTCATGCTAACCACTCATTCCTCATTTCACTTCTTTTTGGATAACAAAGCCCTTTATTTCTTCATTCAATACATAATTTAAATAATTTTAACCAATCCGTTGAACTTCAGACTTTACGAGTTCCCATGGGCACATTCTCCAGGCTTGACATTGTACATATTGTTACATGGCTCCTCTCTCAGGGAAATTCAGATCTACCGGCAAATGTCCATTTCTGTTTTCTAAATGAAGAATACAACATAGCTTACAAAATCTTTCCTCTTATTTGGACCCACATCTTCATCTCTCACCCTTTTCCCACAAAGAGTTTTGATAATACATCATCAATTGTGTGAAACAGTTAACACATCTCAGCCAATAGTCAATTCCAGGAACAACCAACTTTAAAAATGATGTTTTTCACTTGGTATGATTACAAAAATCTTTCCAGTTCCACCCTTTAAGAATAATTCTTGTCTTTTAACTTCAAATTCTTGACTTCCATTGTTAATGACATGACACTCATATTGTCCAAAAATATTGTTTCATTTTTTCCCCATAATTATTGAAGAATTGCTTTAGGAAGATGTTCTTTCCAAGCTGGGTGTGATGGTGCACACCAGCGTTGCAGGGGGCTGAAGCAGGAAGATGGAAAATTTCAGGTCAGACTGGGCAATGTAGCAAAACCTTGTCTCAAAATAAAAATAAATAATAAGAAGAAAATGGGCTGCGAATGTAGTTCAGTGGCACAATACCTGTGTGCTCAATTCCAAGTAAAAGAGAAAAAATTTACTGTGAAGACTTTAATGGCAAAAATTAAATTATGGTTTTAATGGTTAAAATAATGATCATGCTTTATTATTCATATCTGAGTATTTTTATTGGAAATGTAATTTGTACACATTTTTCTTTAATATGACTACACCTGTGATGAGATATCTGCAGTAATGACATTGAGCAACCTCCACATTTAATTTAACATTTGCTCACTGGCATTATGTTTTCCTTGTTGAAATTTCACCCCTTTGGCTTCCTTAACATACAAATTACCTGGAAATTCTCTTCTTTTCTCCTACTCTTTTCTTCTCAGAGATTTTCAGAGGGTTTCTTGATATTCTTTCACAACTACGTCAATGTTGTTTATGGGATCTGCCCTAGGTCAACATTCCTGGCTGATCAACAATCTGGGAAGTCCCAAATCAGCAGCTCCAAGTTGAACCTTCTGCCAATTGAAACTCATAATCAACTTTCTCTTTGATTTCTCTCTGCAGCTGCCTTTATCCTTGCCTGTTCTCCAGTTGTACAGAAGGTCCTTTAAGAGAAGGAATAGAACTAGTTACCAGGGTTCACCAGTGCCTTTGTCATCTAAGAGACATGTCACATATTTATTCATACATGTCATGTACAGAATTGTAACAAAAATCAAATAATGATTGCAGAATGTTAATGCACTGCACCTGCTTTTAATCACAGACACAATGAAGGAACAGTAAGAGGAGGAGAAACACAGGAGAAGGGAAGTTCAGTGGAAATCAGCACAAACATAATTTCTTCCTGGGTTGCATCCTTAAGCTACCAATTTAATGACACCTCTGTGGTACAGCAGTAGCTGTTTGGTGATCTATCTATTCTAGTAAAGTTGACGGCACTTTCTAAGAGCATGACATTTAGTGATAGAGGTTAAGATATCTGCTTTACTTAATTATAAAATGTGAAGTAATGTTCTCAGCCACAGATTTTATCCTGGAGTAAAATTGTAACAACCATAAGAAGCATATTTCTGTTTATAGTTCATTTTTCTTGTTTCCCACATTCATAACTGTATTTTCTAACATCTTATAGCAGGAAGTATGAGCCAAAGGAAAAAATCTCCCACTATTTTGTTGTTCCCACCTAAATATACACTAGTTAAGTTTAATTCATGGCCGAGGCAGGATAACTTTACATTCAAATACAGCATTGGCAACATAGACCCTAAGTCACTAAGTGAGATCCTTTCTCAAAAAGTGAAAAGGGCTGGGATGTGGCTCCGTGGTTAAGTGCAGCTGAGTTCCATCCTGGTACCAAAGGAAATATAAAAAGTTTACTTCTGTGTTTAAATATATATAATTAACATTTTCATTTTTTTATGTTGGTAGGATGCTGTTCTTTGTAGTGTCTTTGGAGCATTGTTGTTTAGAAGGCCATGAATATCAGAGATCTATTACAACAGTGCCCCCATAAAGTTCAGTAAATGAATTAGTGGAGAATGAAGAAATGGAAGAAAAGTGAAACATACAATGGAAGAAAACTCTTGAGTTCCTGATTCTACTTCCACAGAAATAAATTAACATGAAGCTTCTCATCCCTGCTTCCCTTCTGCGAGTTTTTCTTGGAAAGCATAAACATAAGGAGCTTTCATCGTGTTTGCTTTGATCTCAAGAGAAAAAATCTTGGGATTATTTTCTATTAACAGAATACATGTTAGGAACACTGATTATACTCAAAGAAAGTCTGTTATCCTGAACTAGTGAGCAGCAACTAAAGACAACATAACTACTTTCTTTTCAGAGAATTAAAGTGTGCTAATTCCACTGTGTTCTTAAAATATTGCTGCTGTTGTTCTGGAATTGGAGTTATAGTTTAATATGGAAAAATATGCATTATACACTATGTGCTGATTTTCTTGAGAACTCATGTTATATTGGCAAGCTACATACATCATGGTTTGTCAAAATAATGTCCTAGTTTCATAATAGTTTTAACAATAATTCAGTGTCCTTGATGGGTAGTTGCAAAACAGCAATCTGCAACAGACATACAGCTGTGTACATGGATATCTTGACAGGAAAATTTGCAAGTTAATATCTCTGTTGTCTAGTGAAAACTACCTCAAATTGAGTTATGTATTTTGTTGTTGTTGTTGTTAATGTAGATGGACACATACTTTTATCTTATTTACTTATTTTTATGTGGTGTTGAGGATTGCACTCAATGCCTCACATGCTAGGCAAGTGCTGTAGCCCCAAATTGAGTTTTATTTTTGGATCAGATGTGAGAAACTAATGTTTATAGAAAATGTTGAATATTATGGTAGGTAAGGATTGGAAAGTGTTGTGTGCATTTAAGAAACTAAATTATTGTATTATCTCAGCACATTTGTTATCCTCCTCGAAGAATATTACAACCATATCTTAAAAATTGTTCCTTAATTCATAGAGAAAACAAACTCAAATGCCCTTCCACCTCAAACTTGTCACCCAAATCTAGTCAGGTAAGAAATGTAGTGGAGTCAGAATAATACAGAACATTAATGTTATATATAAGAAAGAAGAGGGTCCATGAAAATACCTGAAGGATAAAATGTAATCAAAGTTGTATAAGGAGAATCACCAAGCAGAAAAACAACATTATTGAATAAAATAGAGTTGTCAGGGGCAAATTAATGTCTTTCTTCTGTAATTTTCTCATCTGCAAGATGTTATAGTAATAGTTTTAAAAATAAATTGTGAAAATTGTATACATTTTCCATTGCTTATTAAAATGGTCAGAGAATTTTAGGATACATATTTTCATTCTTACTTTTATTACCTGTAAATTCATTAAGAACATGTTTTATGAAAATATGTTTTATGAAAGTTTGCATTCAGATTAACTGTATATTCTGATAGCAATCAAGCCTTCCTCTTGCATTCAGTAATAAAATATAATGTTCCTTTTTCCTTTGTGGAAATTATTGAGGTCATTAAACCTTCCAGACAAATCCTTTAAATGTTTGATCATTTTTGGTGCTATTATACATGGGATTGTCTTCCTAATCTATTTTTTAGATAGTTCGTTGTTTGTGTATGGAGACATATCTGATATTTGTATAGTGATTTTGCAGCCTGAAATTTTACTGAGTTTGTTTATTCATTCTGTAAATTTTTTTTTGCGGGGTGGGGGTCGCCTTTATGTTTCTTATAAACAAGATCATGTCATCTGCAAACCGTGAGAAGTGTGACAAGATTTTTTCCTTAGTTTTCTGCTTGGAGGGCACCTTTTATTTCCATTTCCTCTTAATTGCTCTCTTTAGGGCTTCCCATACTACACTGAGGAACGGTGATGAGGATGATCATTCTGGTCTGTTCCTGATCTCAGGCGAAAGTCTTTTAACTTTTCAATGTTGAGTATAATGTTAGCTGTGGCCTCGGTATATGTAACTTTTATTGTGTTGAGTTATATTCCTTTTAGACATAACTTCTTGACGGTTTTATTGTGAAAAGATTTTGAATTTTGCCAAATGTATTTTCCACATCTATTGAGATAACTAAATGAGTTTCATTCTTCATTCTGCTAATGTGTTGAACCAAATTTATTGTTTTTTTAAAAATGATGAAACATATTGATGTCCCAGGAATAAACCTCACTTAAACATAGCATGAATCAAAACTGTTCTTCTTTAATTCATTCAAAAAACTTTCCCCCATGTTTTTAAGCACCATAGCTGTGAATGAGTTATATGGAAGCTGCTCAAACTGTTACAATAAGTATTTGAATACATAGTTAATGAATACATATATACCAGATATTTATAAGCTTCACTTCTCAACTGAGGTTCAGTTCTAAATATCAGCCTACTTGGCATTTATATTTGAAAGTCTTTCTGCTATAATCCTCTATTTAACTAGATTCCAAAATTTCTGTGAGCCAAGGAAACCAATAAGCACACTACAGAAATGGCAGGTGACTATGTTTTTCTGAGAATTTCCATTTTTTATTTCTGCATAGAACACTTTAGGAAAAGACTTCTCTACCTTTCTTGTGTATGAATTATGTAGGGATCCCTGTTAAACGTAGATCCTGATTCAATAGGTCTGGATGTGATTTCAGACTCTGAGTCTTCAATATGCTCCCTGTTGGGATGGTATTGGTGCTGCTGCTCTAACAACTCACTACCTTTTAGACAGAAGCCTTTAAATAATGTCCATGGACAGTTAGAGGCAGAGCATCCCAAAACTGCTATTATACACAATTCTGATTAAAGGTTTATATGTACTAAAGTTTTTAATATTCTTACCCATCTGATGATATGATTAAGTATATTATGCCCATTTTTCTCAATGAGGAGATGAAGGTTTAAGAGAATAAGTTATTGGTCAATATCTTTAAGCTAGTAGCTATCAAAGACAAGATGAACAACTGATTCTTTTTCCTTCTAGAACCCATCTCTTAATCATAGAGAGTCATCAACTTTTTCATGGAGTGGTCAAACATATAACAGATCACATTTTTTTAATGAGAATATTTTTTGTTTATTTGGTTGCTTGCTTCCTTCTCTATCTCAAATTTTTAAAAATTGTCCGTTGTTGGGGAAGTAAAATAAAAACAAAATCTTTTGTCACTCCAGAAACCTCTCCATAAAACCATAAGAGAAAGGAAACAGATTCTTATTCAATGAGCTTTAAGTCAGAATATAAAATCCATCAGAGGCAACTCACTAAGCAAATTGAGAGGACAAGAAGAAATCTCAATCAGGCATCATGGTGCATGTCCAAAGTCCCTGTGAATTGGGAGGTTGAAGTAGATTCAAAACCAGCCTATGCAATTTAGTAAGATTTTGCCTTAAAAAAAAAAAGCAAAGAAATCTCACCTTTATACAGAGCCAGGTAGACACAACTGTTTACATACATGTTCTTAAGATAAACGATAACTATTCCTCAATAAGACACCATTTGAAGACACCATTTTTTCACACATAGTTCATCCCAATTCATTTGGTAATTGGGTGATCATCTTTGCTAAAGTGTTGGATTGAGCCAAAGGAAAAATAAACTTCTCATATCTTTATCACTAAAGGTAGGTCTTGCAACATGGAAGGAAGCAGATGGCCAAAGTTAAGTTCCCATCTTCTCACAAAAACTAGGAGATATGTACTATGTTCCTTGATAATTGCATTTCCAGTGATGGCTTTTAGATCCTTGAGAAAGTTATTCTTGTAAAGCTGGAAAGAGTCTTGTTTGGCTTTTAATAAGGTTGCTATTGTAGCTCACAATGGTAAAATGTTTAGGTGGTTCATGTATTTGCATGTGCACTCACACACAAAGATTGACATTATTTCAAAGAAAGAGAAAGAACGTATAAGATTTTTAAATTAAATGTTCTAAGAAAAAGGAGAGGTCTTTTTTTCCCTTCAAGGAACATTTAAGCTTTTAAATTTTAATTTGTGTTTGCCCTTACACTGCCACCATTTTTACTTCTACGGAGTAAAAGCATTTAATGCTAACATCATTAAACTCAGTTCTCTCCATAAGCATCTCCATTGCTTGTAGTGTGATATTCAAGCCAAAGTGACTCCATTTTGTTTAGTAACTCCATTTTGTAAAAACCATGCCAAATAGAAAGGTCATGATTGGGGCAAATTGTTCTTTTCCTTTTGCTATAGAAACCATTAAGAATATGGAACTACCTAATGGGGCATTGTTTCTGTAACTGGGGTGACTGGGCTAATTGTGACTGGCTAAGCATTCCGCCTCCTGACTGCACTCTTCCGCTTCTCTAACCTGACTTGGCTTGTATTGGCTAGACCCCCAAACGTCCCTTTTGTGGTTTTCAGGCGTATAAGGAGCACCCTTGCAATTGTTCAGGGCTGATAAGGGGAATAACTTTATTAAAATTAGTACTTACACTTTGCTATTTCATTTTCTTTCTTTTTTGGGGAGGATACTGGGGATTGAACTCAGGGGCACTCCCCCATTGAGCCTCCTCCCGGCCCTATTTTGTATTTTATTTAGAGACAGGGTCTAACTGAGTTGTTTAGTGCCTCGCTTTTGCTGAAGCTGACTTTGAACACTCGTTCCTCCTGCCTCAGCCTCCAGAGCCTCTGGGATGACAGGCATGGGCCACCATGCCCGGCTCATTATTTTTCCTTTATAACAATAAAATAGATATACCTCTTTCCAAAAATCAGCATCTTAATAAGTATGATTTAATAACTTTGCTCTCAAGGAAATATATGTCCTCAAACATTATTCAAGGAAATACATCATATGTAGATTTTGTGATATTTTTGGATAGAAACTAATATAAAAACAAAGACACTAAGAGGCATTTGGGAATTGAAGTTCCAAAGAACTGTTATTCTATAAAAGAAAAAGTTTAATGGCCAATTTCGAATGTAGCTAGATTCCTATTTTAAAAATAGAGATTATTATTTATTCCTTCTTTTTAATTCACACTATAAAAATGTGAGAGTATGATCCACAGCCAGAAACAAGAAGCATAATAGTAAACGGAATACTTTCTGTTTTTTTTTTTTTTCCAAATCTCATATTCCATGAAAAGTTGGCTTTAGCAGACATACGGGGAGGAACATGTCCTGCTGTTTTGCAACAAGGGGAAAAGGAGGCTGATTCATAGTGGGGTAAGGAGAAGGGAGCCTGGGATTGATGACCCAATCCATGTCTTGGAAACTGAAACATTATTTTGGTTAGAAAGACAAATACATAATGAAGAGCTATTGCAGTTTTATAAGGATGGTGCCACAGAATGCAATATTGCCAAGATTTTATTCTAACTTTGTATTTTAATTTTTAAAAATTACTTCAATGAGTAGAAAATCATCTCTTACTGTCAACCTACACTAATGATTAAAGTGGGAACCTAGAGAGTCCTAGAAGAGAGCCCAATTCCTAAAAGACTATTTTATTATCTGCAAAAAACATCTATTTAGAATAATATATTCCTCTTTTATTTTATTATAATAAAAATATAAACCTGAAAATTTATAATGAAGTGAGTTCACAGGGATGCATTCTGTGTAAGAGGAATTCAAGTGAAATGTTACTCAAGGTGATTATATTTTAATTTGTGAAATATAAAAATTGAAATATCTAAGAGGGAAGTGGTATGTTAGTCCAAATAGGTAGGTAAATATTCAGGATCATACCTAAAGATTTGTAGCTTTAACACTGAGCTACATCTGCAGCCCTTTTTATTTTTTATTTTGAGAAAATCTCACTGAATTGCTAAATCTTATTAAGTTGCTGAGATTGGACTTGAACCTTCTATCCTTTTGTCTCAGCCTCCAGAGTCTCTGGGAATACAGGTGTGTACCACTACACCTGGTTACAATTTTTAAATTGAAAAAAGGATAGGAAAAAAATAGCTACAGTCAGAAAAAAAAATAGAAAAGAAAAATGATGAGGTGAGAACCCTACAGAACATCTATGTTATAAAACAAAACAAACAAAAACCAGTGAATTCAACATGTGTGGAAGAAGTAGTCAAGGAAAGAGAATTGTAAGCATTACTTTGCTGTTAAGACTCTAACAAAGGACCAAATACAGTAGTGCTCTTGGGATAAGTTACAATAGCCTCCACTGTGTGATTATTAGTGACTGTGAGAATGAATGGAGACAATAGAATATTGGTCACACTGCACCTGAAAATTACTCAGCAAATTTTATGTGTCAGGGTCATTAATGCTATAAGTGACTGTGGTGAAAGGAGTAATAATGAAGAAAAGGAAGAGCTTTCTTAGGGAGTGAAAAGTGGAAGAGATGGTGGCTGAGGACAGGAGCAATGCTCATACTTAGAAATAAGTCATGAAGGATCAGACTGGGGGGCTGATATCCTTGATGATTTTTTTATTGATTTAAAAAAAAATAAATGACAGCAGAATGTACTACAATTCTTATTATACATATACAGCACAATTTTTCATATCTCTGATTGTATATAAAGTATTTCACACTTATTCATGTCTTCATACATGTACTTTGGAAACTGATGTCTATCACATTCCACCATCCTTGCTAGCTCCTATCCCCTCCCTTTCCCTCTAACCCCTCTGCCTTTCTAGAGTTTGTTTATTCCTCCAATGCTCCCCCTCCCTACCCCACTATGAATCAGCCTCCTTATACCAGAGAAAAGATTCGGCATTTGTTTGTTTGGGATTGGCTAACTTCACTTAGCATTATCTTCTCCAACTCCATCCATTTATCTGCAAATGCCATGATTTTCTTTTCTTTTCTTGCTGAGTAATACTCCATTGTGTATATATGCCACATATTTTTTAATCCACTCATCTACTGAAGGGCATCTAGGTTGGCTCCACAGTTTAGCTATTGTGAATGGTGCTGCTATAAACACTGATGTGGCCGTGTCCCTGTAGTATGCTGTTTTTAAGTCCTTTGGGTGTAGACCGAGGAGAGGATAGTTGGGTCAAATGGTGGTTCCATTCCCAGTTTTCCAAGGAATCTCTATACTGCTTTCCATATTGGCTGCACCAATTTGCAGTCTCACCAGCAATATATGAGTGTGCCTTTTCCCCCACATTCTCGCCAACACTCATTGTTGTTTATATCATAATAGCTGCCATTCTGACTGGAGTGAGATGATATCTTAGAGTAGTTTTGATTTGCATTTCTCTAGTTGCTAGAGATAATGAACATTTTTTCATATATTTGTTGATTGGTTGTTATCCTGTTTTGAGAAGTGTCTGTTCAGGTCCTTGGCCCATTTATTGATAGGGTTATTTGTTTTTTTCGGTGCTTAGCTTTTTGAGTTCTTTATATACCCTAGAGATTAGTGCTCTATCTGATGTCCCCTGGTGTTCTCTCAGTGCTCAACTCTTTGGCACTTTTCCTTCACAGTATTCGAGGACTTGCCTCAGTGAGTTTGCTTTTACTGTGTCTTCTATTGGAATTGTATTCCTCTCTTTCACACATTATTTCACTTCTCTGCTCAAACTCTGACCTGCCACCATTGTCTTTCTTGATGATGCTATCTAAAATACCCTCCCATTGCCTATTCTTTAGTGTGGTTATCATCACATGGCACTCCTGTATTGCTTCTTTTCCTGTTTGTTCTTTTCCTCCAATGATTAAAATGTAAACCCCATTTATAAAAGAGTAGGGTCTTTGTTTGGTTTTCCAGTATAAAGCATCTAGAAATATACCTGGCATATCATAGTTGTATTATATGACATCTAGAATAATGCCTGCTCAATGTTTGTTGAAAGTAGTCTAAACCCTTGATAGATGGCCTCTAAATGTTTCAGTACTCATTAGATCTTCTTCTTATGGTGTGATATTGTGTGTTACCATCTGTAAGCATAGGTTGTGATTTGAGACTTGAAACTCTGGTGGAAGTTGCCTCAATGGTGCTGAGAGTGTAAGTTATGGTTGAGGCCTCCAAATATGTAGCATTCAAGTACATCAGGCATGAGAGGCACACTTGCAACTAAGGACCCCAAATATATACAAAGTTATTTTTGTGCTATCCAAGCCAGTTTCAAAGTTAAGTAAAATTAGTTGTTAGAGAACAGGTTATTCTAGTAATAGTGACCTGGTCTTTATGTCTAAGCAATAGAAGAAAGACCACACAGCTAAAAGTGCATTTGATATTTTAATATTTTGGCAACATTATTGTGTTCTATATCTCAGAGATAGTGATGAAAAGACCTCAATTAATCATCAGTACAGTTAATATAAACACACAATCCAGGTCTGACATATCCAACATAAACCAAAAACAATATTAACAATATAGAAGATATTCCACACAAACTTCTTGTAGCTCAATATTGTTGTCTTTTCAACAAGCACATCAAGAAATGTTGATAGTAGGAGATGATGTGATAGATGAGAAAACTATATAGAAATGATTTTTCTGGTCAAATCTATGAATAAAGAGGACATATTAGGTTATCTAAAATGTATATTCTGGAATATGTAGATATAAAATTCTTAGACATATTTATGTATATAATATACATCTACATCAAACACATAGGCAGATCTAATGTAATTACTTATAGTTATCACTAATTAATGGTTTCTAGTACCAAATGAGTTGTTACTAAGAATTTGTTTCACAAGTGACTAAATTATGGTTAAATAGCTTAATTCTATACAGTATTATATCTATTTAATAATTATCTATTTAATAATTCTACTAAATGAAAATATAATTCTGAGAAAATGTTGAACTGAACATTTTAATTATTCTTAATTTCTAAGTAGTTTACTAGGCATAAAATATAGTTAATTTCTAAAATAATTGATGATTTCTTGACTTATTTGGACTAATTATTTGTCAAATAATTATGTTTAGCAAAATGTCCTTTCACAAAAATTTACCAAAACTCTTCAAAAGTAAGACCTTTTTATTATAGTTTAGTTTCATAAATATTTTGCCAATTTCATTTACTTTTGTCTTAAAGTATTCTGACATCCTTTGCTTTGTTTACTTCTGGTTTTACTATTGGTTCAGGCCTTAATCAATTAACTTTTTCTTTCTACTACAATATTATGCTTGTAATTCTAATATTGCACCTAGTAAACTTCTTTGTAAATTTATTTCTCCTAGAACTGAGGTTAAGGAAGGTTGGGTCATTATTTCAGTGTTTTATATTGTTGGATCCATGATAAGCAATTGCAAAATAATGAAAGACTAAATACCATTAAAGTGAATATTGTGATTTATGAAACTTAAATCTCAGCTTTCATCCTTAGTGATTCTGATGATTTTTCTCAACTTAATAATCTGGAAAATTTGCTGACCCCTTTCTATTATCAGGAGACCCAAATGAAAGATAGGATTAAATTATACAGAGATATGCACACATAGCATTCCCTAACAAAAATAAAAATTTGAGTTTGGGAGGGGGTGTAAGGTGAAAGGAAACTGTCAAGAATGAACCAGTTTGGCCACCCATGTTTAGGGAGATTTCTTCTCAGAACCTTTTTGTTGCCTGGACACATCTATCCACAAAAGAAATTTTTTTGTAATTTGCTTTTAAACATTTATAAAAAGCTCACATGTGCAAATTACACAGATACCTTCCATCTGTGAATCAAAGTTCATAGAAAAAGTTAAAATATCTCACAAATCAAACTATGACTTAAAAGTTTAACTAAATTTTTTAAATGTGATTTTTCTTTAGTGTTGTCTTTTCAGCTGAAAATCCTGTTTGAATTGATACTCAATATCCAGGCCTAAAGGGACTTACCTAAGTTCAAGAAGCAGCTGTTAGTTCAAGAATGTTAGAAGTTCCTCTGAAAGAAAAATAAATTGTGAGATATTTTAACTCACTAAAGATATTTGTGTGTCACTTGAATCATCTAGGGGATATATATATATATATACATGAACTCCATATTTAACAAGATATTTAGGAAATTAAATTCCAATATAAGTACAATTCTCTGTCACCATTGCTATGATTATATATATCATTATATTTGAAGCATATATTTTCTATTTCATTACTGGCCTTGACATATTTATTTCAATTTGAATTGATTTTTATGTGAGAATGTGGGATTATTTTATTTCATTTCTTTACATCATGTTTTTGTTTTTATAAAAGATAATAATTACAATTTTATTTTATGATTTAAAAAAGGCAAACACTAGTATGGCATTATGTAAAAATGTGAATGTGTAACCTATGTGATTCTGCAATCTGTATTTGGGGTAAAAATTGGGAGTTCATAACTCACTTGAAACTATTGTTCGAAGTATGATATGTCAAGAGCTTTGTAAGGTTTTGAACAACCAATAAAAAAAATATTTTAAAAGCAAAAAAAAAAGGCAAACATACCACAATGGGAATATATGGGTAGGCAATGTTCTTAATGTGAGCCCAAGAATTTACAGCTATCCGCTGTGGATGAATAATCTGGAAATAGTTGGGGATGGCGAATGTGGGAAATTGGTTGATCTTCATCTGCAAAGAAATACAATTATTAACAGTAACTTCACATTAAATGTCCTCCAGGGTTCATAAGAAATCTATACAGAATCAAATTAAGTATAACTTTAGGTACTTAGGCAATTTCCAAGTAGGTCCTAATGAAAGCAGTTTACTAATATAAAAGTCACTGTAAACCTTTCTATATTGTAGGGTGACTATAAAGTTCAAGAAATTCTCTAGTTAATTCAGGCACTCATATAAAAATTTCTAAGAGGAAAAGAAAAAGCAAATGTGTATGTAAGAAGGTGAGAAAAAAAATTTTTTTTGAATAAGCAAGATAAGTGTATCCTTTTATCATTTATTTTACCATACTGATCTTTAGGACCAGAGAAGTTCAGCATAATTTCTTATGATTTCCCTCTCTGGAATGACTCTGATGCAGTTGCTTCATCTTTCTAAGCATCATTTACATTGCAGAATTCTAGTAGTTAATAATCAGAGAGCATTCTGAGTAGTCCCTGTCACATAATATATGTACAAGGTGTTTCCCTCATGTTTAAGCTTTTTTAACAGTCTGTTTCATTTACCTTATCATAGATTATTGTAGGAGATAAATACAAAATTAAACTTCTAACTTCCTACAGTTGAATTTTCAGTTTTTGTGAGTGGAAAGATATTTTTGAACCCCCAGGGAATGACTGTTAAGTGGCTTCATGGCAATGGATGGCAAGTAATGGATACAATGGTAGACTGCTTTTGGAGACACTCTGACAAAACATAAAGGTCTTCACAGAAATCAGAACTTTCCCAAGCAAGGTAGCTTTTTATGTGGGAGGACTGTGGTTTCAGTGAAGAAAATATTGCTTCTAGTATAAAAGTTTTAGAGGAAATTTCTAGAGTGTATAGCCTAATGATGATAACAATGCCTATGCTAATAATACATTCATTGTATTCCCAGCATTCTGTTGTAGACTTTGCATATTATCTGAAATGATCATTACAAAAAGTCTTTAGAATTAATAGTGTTACTATATTCATTTTTCAGTTGAAGATACTGTAGTTAACAGGAATTAAGTACTTAAAAATGTCACAGAACATATATGAATATACCACAGGGAATTTCACCATTATGTATATCCATAAGGCACTAATTTAAAAAAAACAACTTATAAGTAAATAGCAAAAAGATCAATAGAGTAGAAGGCAGGGAACCCAGGGAGTACTGGGAATGGAATTAGAGGTATTATATTCCATGCTTTTATAATTATGTTGAAATGAATCCTAATGTATTGTATAACTAAAAAGAATAAATAAAAACCAGTTATATTTAAAAAATTTAAAAAGGTGATGTATACAGAGCACCTGGCATGACCTGGCACAAGGTAAGTGTTTAATAGGCACTACTTATATTTTAAAAGGTAAATATATAACAAATAATTATTTCCACAAATACCAAGGCTCTGAGATGGGTTCAGTTTGTTTTTCATGGGGAAATAAATGGACATGTAAAAATACTCAATAAACAACGTCATAGATAGAAAAGGCAGTGGACACCTGGAGTTGGAATATAAATTGCCTGACTACAAACCTATGTCTTTTTTACTGAGACACATATGTCTTTGGACCAAAGAGCTGGTTACAGAATTGCCTTTGGTTTGAAAATAGTCCCTTTAAACACCTTAAAACAATTTGAGAAATTAAGTCATATCATAGTATTCAAGAGAAGTAAGAATGCAGTTGTGTTCTATGGGTAATCTCATCTAGTCCATTTGAAATTAAAACACATTTCTGAGATTTGCATGTGTTCCAGAATCAATCAATAATTGCTCAAAAGTATTTTTCTTAAAAAATAGATCCTTATTTATTTTTAAAGAAATTCATACCACAGCAATAATAATAATTTATTTTGAAATTATTCCCATATTTCATGGGAAGAAAGTTATGATTTTATATACATGTATATATATTCAATTACTTGAGTTATAAGTTTGTAAATATGTATTATCCATAGTATTTCTGTTATTTTTATTATATGTTTTGATGTGACTTTGTTAAAAACTGGCAGCTATTAATTTTCTAAAAATTATTGCAGTAGAAAACGTGTTATTTCTTGATGGATTAGTTGAGTCTTTAACTTAAAACAAAGTGTCATTTATCCAGCCTCACAAGATGAGCTGCTAGAAGTGTCCTTGATAAATAAAAAGAACAATAAAAAGAATAAAAATACGAAGACCAAGTTAATTGAATTTGGAAACTTTTTTCAAAAAACAATAGTGTGATTGAACTTTTGGCTTTATCAACAAGATCATCATTCTAATGGACAAAATGGGACAGCAAAAATGTATTTTTTCTTCAAAAAATTAAAATTTCCATATTTTTTGTTAAAATAGTGTAAAACGTAGACAAGATGTATATGAAGATGGAAATCATTAACTGAGAGAATTAAGAACAATTAAGAAAAATGTAGTCAAGGGGCCTAATAAAAATTGTGCTTTTATGCAGTGAAACTGATCTCTTTATTTATTAAAAGAAGTTTGTAAGCATGCTTCTTCTTCCCATTAAATTTTAAATCAAATATAGTTGTATATAAATAAACACCCTTACCAAATCAACAATCTTCTTTAAGGTTTCCTTAAACAAAGAATACACGAGTTAAAAACATTGTTTATTGTTTCCACTTTATTGATAAGACAGATTTTATTCTTGGATGTAGCAAGAAAAAAAATTGAGAAAAATAATAACTAGTTTATTTTTATTGCTCAAATTATAACTGAGTTATCCAAAGAAAAAAACACATATTCATGACTTTAATGGAATGTAACATGGAGTGTGATTTTGCCTTTTTATGTATTTTTGAATCCTCAAGATATAGAATCATGTAAGGGAATTAGTACTTGCTAAATGCATGCTTCTTAAATGAATATATTGATAAGTTTAACTTATTATATATATTAAAGAAGAATTTAAATAATACTGTGTTTATTACAAGTTCATTAAATAGGTATTTCTGTAATAAAGTATTCATACATATATATGTTTTGGGATTTATATAAAATTTCTGTTAGAGTAAATATCATAAAAATATTTGGTAAATATTTACACAATTAAGCAGCTAGAGTAACAATACATTTTAAAATTCTGGGAATTAATAAGAATTAAAACTGCTAAATAATAAAATCTCCATTTCTCATAGCAGGAAAACAGAATTTAGTTCATCAATTAAGTACTGCATATAATCAAGTAAACAATGCTTATTATGTATGACATTTTTAAAACTCCTTAAAATTTATTTAATTGTATTAGTTAGGACTTACCTCTTGGGAGATTCTGGTAGGTTCCTTAGGAGAAAAAAAATAATTACATATTTTTCAAATGTTGTTTCCTACCATGCTGTTTTTGGTGTTTTAGAAGGAAAATAAAACCCAACAAAATTAGCCAAATTTTTAAGTAACATTCAGGATGCCTTTAGACATGTATTCTGAAGCATTGATAGGAAGATTTCTGGAAATTAGCACTAAATGTATGAACTCAAGTTCTTACTTTTTTGGAAGCATAGAAGGGACCCTCTTGGTCAGTTTATATAATCTAAAACAGACATCATGACTCCTAAAGTAATATGATTATTCAGTGACTTCCAGTAAAGGAGATGGTATTGAACATTTTTGCTAGTGTCTGGTGGTCACAAATATAATTCTGCTAACTTTGTTACAGTTTTAGGCTGCTCCCCTAAAATGACTACATTTAACATTGCTACATTTTTAAATTTCCACGTTCTCTAATTCTATTACTCTAACCTTAAGCATAAAATCATTTAAAGACAGTCTTATACAGAATTTAATATCTGGTACTGGATGCAAAGATTTTATTTTCATGTGAAAGTACCTTACCTCTGTGGAGGAGTGTTCCTCTTTTTTCTATATGTAAAAAAAAAAAAAAGTTTCAATTTTAGGGCTTAATCAAATAACCACCTGGAATATGCATTGTTTTCCATGGACAATTTATCTGAATCTGAGCTTTCTTTGCAAAATCTCATATTTTCCAATGATAGCAATAATATGTGATTCTGTATGTGACAAAAATTATGGGATTAACAATATATCCCTTATATTTAAGAGCTGGATTACCTGTTAGGTTACAGATTTTTAAGTTGTTGCATTTAAAAATATAAAATACTGTATATGGAAACCAGCTAAAGAGTATCACAATATTTTAAGATATTATATATTTTCTGATAAGGAAATATGCATTGTTTTATAATACATGCTGAAAACAATAATATCCTGCACATATCTTCTAGTATCTAGTAAAGAGAAGCTTTGAACAAGCATTTTTGATATAATTAATTGACTTAAAATATAAATATAGCAAAATAATAATATATTAGCTACTTTCAAGTAACTGGAATTTACTGTTAGTTAAATAAAAGTATTTTATTAAAAGATGTGATAGAGGTCATGTACAGAACAAAAAGTTAAGGAAGAGGTTGGTTAAGACTAGTACAATCAAAGAAGAAACTAATGTTCTATACGTACAATTGATCACTGAACTATCTTCTCTTTTTTTAAAATATATTTTTTTATTTGTAAGTGGACACAATACCTTTATTTTATTTATTTTTATGTGGTGCTGAGGATCAAACTCAGGGCCTCACACATGCTAGGCGAGCACTTTACTGCTGAGCCACAATCCTAGCCTCTTCTCTCTCTCTCTTTTTTTTTTTTAAGAGATAAATGAAGTAGCAAAACTCTGAGATTTTACTTTTTGGGTCTGGGTTGGAATTAGCATGCAGTAACTTTTATTTTATTTACACTAAAATTACTTAGGCTTTTTCATATATATATAACATTAAATTCTCATGATGTTGACATAACTTCATATAGTTTCTTTGTTTATCAAAAAATCACTTACTTACCTATATCATGTATTGAAGTTGTAATTACTCCTCTTACAAGAAAATAATGTTCATAAATATTACAGAATTGTTTTGCAAATAGTGGTCTAATTATAAGTCAGTCCAGACTTTTGCTTACTAATTTCATTACTTTCATGCATTCTTAATTATTAAATATTTCAGATGATTATTAGCAAAATGGTGAAATTCTATGCGGATTTAGAGGCTAACTTTGAAATTTACCATTTTAGCTGTGGACCTTGCTCATGCTGCTTCAGGATTTGCCTGGAAGGGAAATGAATCCCCAGGAATAAAAACTAAAATGTATGCATTTCACCACCAGTGAATATAATTCATAAAACATGAAGGATAGTTAACTGACTTGTTTACCCTGTTTATGACAGGGTCACCACTTCCTTTATTAATTAAGAGCTGAGATCCACTAGTTAATCTATAGTCATTGATTCTCAACTCTGCCATCTTCTGGACATAATAAAATTGATTTTGTTCTAGAAGGAAAGAAATATCTCAATACTTATGAGTACCGAATATGATCAGAGCATATCTGGACAAAATCAAATGAATT